GAAGATCGTCCTCCTCAAGCCGAAAAGGCCTCGATTCCAACAGAAGCTTCTACTTCGAATCTCAAACAATTGGAAACCATTAACAGCACGTCTAACGAAAACGGGCCAGCAGGAAAGCCCGAAACCACGTGCCATGAGGAGAATAAGCCCGTTTACACCTTGGCCAGGCGCATGTCCCGCAAGTGGAGCACTGGGCTCGGGCCGCGCATCGGGTGTGTGCGTGAGTATCCAGCCGAGCTCCAGTTTCGGGCCCTCGAGCACGTCAAGCTCTCGCCCAAAGTGTCCTTTGGCAACTATGGCCCAATCCCATCTCCTAGGCCCAGCCCGAAAATCAGGCTCTCTCCTAGAGTGGCGCATTTGGGCCTGCCGAGCCCAAGGACCCCTATTCCTACAGCTAACTGAGCTGGAACATGAAAGGAGTTACAAGGATTTTAGAAGGGGGAATTTAACTAAAAAAAAAAATCATTTATTCTTTTTTGCTTAATTGCAAGACATATATATGTTTTTTGGTTGGTTCATTCTTTTTTTTCAGATATTTTTTTCTTCCCCTGTCTCGGCTGCTCTGAGAATATGAAATTTGGAAAGGTTAGGATTATTTGTGGTAATGTGATTAAATAATAATGTTTTTCTTTCATGTAAACAATGTTTGGTCACTGTATATGTTGATTCATTCTTTTGTATTCATTGTAAGCAAATGGTGCCCATGGTTTTACTTTTAATAGAGACCTGAAGGGATAAAATCTCTGTGCATTGCGTTGTTAGACCATCTCCAGCCCTTAATTCTACTCTAGCGCGGATTTTACTCTACTTTAAAATAGAGTTAAACATTCGTCTACAACCCTTATCTCTACATTTTATTCTACATCAAATATATTATTTTTTATTCATTTTTTATTTCAAATTAATTGGTATATATATGTATATTTAATCTTATATAAATGTTTATTATCCAAATAATAAAAATATGTTTAGTATAAAAAATACGTTACACAAAGTTATAAATTAGTTAGCATAAAAAATACATTACACAAAGTTATTTAGCATAAAAAATACATTTACTAATACACATTATACAAAAATTTATCATTAATATTACATTACAAAAAATAAAAAAATATAGAGATGCTACAGTGTTGCGCCAAATCTGGCGCAACACTGTTGCAATCTCCAAAGTAACGCAGACAATTGGCGCAGGGTTGGACAGTATTTTAACGCTACAATAGCGGAAAAGGAGAGAAATAGAGCAGCGTTGGAGCTGCTCTTATAATATAGAAATCATACTTGAAAATGGTGGACAACTAGTTAGAGCAACTGAGTAATGTAGCAAAACAGATGGCAAAAGAGGGAAAATCGGCGACATAAAAATTACCTTCTGGGAAGGTTCATCATGTATCCAACCACGAGTTTCCAAGGCTGATATAAAAGTGTATTGTAAGTAATAATGTTTTTTTTTCAAAGACGATAGAAATTCTCATTAATAGCAAAATAAGTTTGAATACACTCGGACTAAATCCGAATTAGCCGACAATCCCATCTCCTAGGCCCAGCCCGAAAATGAGGCTCTCTCCTAGAGTGGCGCATTTGGGCCTGCCTAGCCCGAGGACCCCTATTCCTATAGCTAACTGAGCTGGAGCATGAATTTAGAAGGGGGAATTTAACTCAAAAGCAAATCTTTTATTCTTTTTTGCTTAATTGCAAGACATATATATGTTTTTTGGTTGGTTCATTCTTTTTTTTTTCAGATTTTTTTTCCCCTGTCTCGGCTCCTCTGAGAATATGGAACTTGGAAAGGTTATGATAATTTTCTTTTTTTTACACGCTAAGAGACATTGATGGAGGTAAATCCCCAGGACCGGACGGTTATACATCTACCTTCTTTTTGAAAAGCTGGTCCATCGTCGGAGCTGATGTCATAGAGGCTATACAAGAGTTCTTTCGTAAGGGCATGCTCCTTAAGCAATGGAACCATACAGCCCTCACGCTTATCCCGAAATCATTACACTCTTCGCAAGTCACGGACTTTCGGCCTATTGCGTGTTGTAACACGATTTACAAGATATGCTCCAAAATCCTAGCTAATAGAGTTAGAGATGTCCTCGGCTCCATCATTGACGAGGCTCAAGCAGCTTTTGTGAAAGGGAGGAGCATAACGGACAACATCCACCTCATGCAACAATTGCTTCGTCTCTACTCTAGAAAACGAGTCTCTCCGAGGTGTATTATCAAAATAGACCTCCGCAAAGCATTCGACTCAATTTCTTGGTCCTTCTTGAAGCAAGTGCTTGACGGGCTCGGCTTCCCCCCGGACTTCTCGAGATGGGTTTTGGAGTGTGTCACCACTCCATCCTACTCACTATCTATTAACGGAAGTCTTAAAGGCCACTTTAAAGGAGCACGTGGATTAAGACAAGGTGATCCCCTATCACCTTTCCTCTTTGTGATTTGTATGGAGTATCTCACTAGGTTAATCAAGAACAACACAAAGGACGGTTCGAACTTCAAATATCACCCGATGTGCGAAGACCTAAAAATCTCGCACCTTGCCTTTGCCGATGACCTCATGCTGCTTTCCCACGGAGACCCTTTATCAATCCAGATTCTCATGGATTGTCTTAAGGAATTCGAAGCCAAGTCGGGTCTCGCAATGAACGTGCTAAAATCTAATATCTATTTGGCGGGGATCAAGGACGATATTAGAACTACAATCTTGAATGGCACGAACTTGAGACACGGCCCAATGCCCTTCCGATATCTTGGTGTCCCTCTTACCTCGGACCGAATTACCGGAAGGCTCTTTGACGATATGATAGCGCAAATAGAAAGGCAGTTGGGAAGATGGAACGGGCACACCCTCTCGTATGCTGGAAGATTGGAACTCCTACGTTCGGTCATACAAGGCATATTGTGTTTTTGGATGGGGATATTCCAATTGCCCGGTATAGTTCGAACAAAAGTTACCCAACTATGTAGAAGATTCCTTTGGGGTTCTAAAAGTGCGCCGGTGGCTTGGGATAGCCTATGCTTACCGAGGTTGGAAGGTGGTCTGGGACTTAGAGACTTGAATGCGTGGAATCAAGCGTTACTCACCCGGACGCTTTGGAACATGCAAGCTAAGAAGGACACCTTGTGGCACAAATGGATTCACAATATCTATCTGAAAGGGAACTCTATTTGGGACTGGGAAATGAGACCGAGGGACTCTCCCCTCTTCAAAAGCCTCTTTGAGATACGTCAAGTATTGGTGAGAATGGCGGGGACCGAAAGGGGTGCGGAAGCCCTTCTAAAAGGCTGGAAATCTCATGAAACCCAAGAGGGGACTGGCAAATGCTACGAATTCCTAAGACCTAGGAGGAACATGGTCCCGTGGAATGGGGTTGTTTGGGGACCATGTAATACCCCCAAGCACTCCTTCATACTATGGTTAGGGGTGCTAAATAGGCTCAGAACAAAAGATCGTCTCGAGTTCCTAGAGGAAGACCCGACATGCCCGCTCTGTGGAGAGGAGAATGAAACTTCGAACCACCTATTCTTCAAGTGTACCTATAGCCTGGAGATTTGGGGGAACATTCGTACTTGGATTAGTCTTAGACATCATCCGGCGACGCTAAAAGGTGCCCTCAAATGGATCAAAAAGGAGGCAAAAGGGAGTGGATGGCAAACCAAATTGAAGAAAGCGGCGCTCGCGGCTACAGTTTACTTCATTTGGAACGCAAGAAATCGACTGGTGTTCGAAAATGAATATCATGGGCCGAGCCTTCTAATCCACAAGGTAAAAACTCATGTCTATCGGACTATGTTTGCCACTTATCCGAATGTGCTCACTGAATTTGAAAGGAGACAAACTAGGTCTTAAGAGGCCCTCTGGACACTTGAAAGTTGAGGATTTGAGGGGGTTGTTAGACCTTCGTGACTGGTTAGTTGGGAAGTGTTGATATGGCTCATATATTGACAAAGGAAGGAGGCAGGCCGATGCCTGCGAGCGGAGCGGAGCGAGCGTAGCGAGGGAAGCGGAGCGACCGAGCGGAGCGAGTGGA